AATTTTTAAAGAAAATATCGTAATTGATTTATTTTTCGGGAGAAAAAAGAATGAGGGGAGGGGGGGGGGGTGAGATATAAAAAAAGGGATATAGAGTTAGGATGAGAATGAGAAAAAAGTGCCATTGTCATTCGGGGAATGGGAATATGAGACAAAAAAAAATATTTTTATTGTATTTATTTTTGTATAATAATTATTTATTATATTTTATATTACGTATATAAAAGAAAAATATCACATCGTATTTATTAATTACTATTAGATAGCACAAACACGGAGAGAGAGAATTAAATGTATGTCAAATCGCGAGAAAAATAAAAAAAAAGAGAAAAAGAAACAGAAAGCGGGCTCATGTAAAAAAAATTCATTTAAAATATCATCGAAAGAAAAAATGAAAGAAAGAATTACGAAATATTCAAATATTGATACAAACGTAATTCCGTTAATTAATCTAATAATAAGAAATAATCTATAAATAGAATACAAAAAAAATCTTTAAATTTAAAAAAAAATTGCTCATTTCCGTAAGTTTTGGGGAAATCCATTTTGAATTTATCTAAGATCGCCCATATTTGAAATAACTACTTTTAATAATGTAAAATCAAAAGTATTTTATGATGAAAAGATGGCGTTAATGCTTCTTGAATAGAGAAACCTCCAATTATTTAGGTATATTTACATAATATATATGGTGATCGTAACTAAAAATGGCGGTGGGAGTGGGGGGGGGAGGGGGGTGGGAGAAGAGTATTATAATTATAGATCTGAAAATCACGTTCGGGCCGGGTCTATTTTTTCAAATTATTTAGGTTCGGGTAGGGTCGGGATTTAATTATTAAATATGATATCATTACATTTTGACAAATATATTGATATATTTTTAAATTCTTGCAAGAAACAAGGGGCTAATATTTTTTATTGATAGAATATTTTTTTTACAATCAAATAAAATATATTTTTCTATATTTAAATAAATTCGAGCCAGGCGGGTACAATTTTTTTTTAGAAAAATTTAGGACAGGGTGACTGTAGGATCTGGTAATAACTAAAAATATCTGTGGGGGGGATCAAGGATGGACAAATGATTTGCTATTTTTTAAAAATCCATGCTTCAAACCAAGCACTTAATATATAAAAAAGTTCCCATCCTTTTAGAAGCGGTTTCTCGTCCAATTTAGCTTTTGTTCCACCAAAAAATTTTTACTTCTATAAACTCAAAATTTTGATGAATCAGCTGCTGATATTAAAAAAATTTAGCTTCTCATTGCAACATAAATTTCCATTAATCACGTTGGGAAAAAAAGTCGCGAATAAAAAGTAAGTATCATTTATGCTGGCTGAAATATTTTAACAATTCGAAAATTCATGCGCCATTTTTTTGATTGAACATATTGATTCTTTTTTTTCCGCGGCGAGTTTAAATTGCGTCTAGCGTAAAAACAAAAAAAAGAGACGATATGCAAAGATATAAATAACGAAGGTCTATATAATAGTCGACATATTTCAAAATGATATTAAATATTGTGCGAATCGATACACGTCTATTTTTTTTCAAACGCGAGTGCTTAATATAAATATCGATTATATTTGAGCAGAGATGTATCAATCTCGATATTTTGTTATTATACCGCAGTGGTATCAGCTGACACCATATTGGTATCCGTGTTATCAGCTGATGCTAGGGGTGTACTAAACACTTTTTGGAAGCCGATCCGATCTAATCCGATATTGCCTATATTAAATTTATATCGGCCGAGTACTGATCCGTACCGACATCATATCTGATTTTGTATTTAAAAATATTATATAAGCCTGAAGATTTTGTCCATAGATGGCACAAAGGTGACATCTATTAGCGAAATCTTGAGGTTTAGGCAATATTTTATTGGCTAAAATATAGTTAGCCGTTTTTAAAAATCGGCTCGAGTGATTTAGTGTCACTACATACTCATATACTTTTTAATAGTGTACATTTAAATATATAATGATCAGTTATAGTAAAAGTGTATAAAATATTTTTATTGATAAATCACTACTTTATATAACATTAATCTATTTATATAATACAAATATATTAATTTGAAATAAATTTTTTTTTAATTTAGACGCCATTTTATCGGATCGAAAAATTTTATAATATTGGCCGATAATCGATATTTTAAAAAAGATGAAATATCGGGCTGATCGAATGAAAAATATCGATGCATCCCTAGCTGATACTATATTGATATTGGTAATAAAGAGTGGGCAGGAATTCAGGGTGCACTTAATGGTTAGATGTTGAGTCGAGTGCAAGATATAGCAAAAATAAAACAAGTATAAGCAATTGGAATATGAATTGATCCAAAAAAATCTCATACTATGACTAAATCCCCTAGCTCAGGTGTCAGTAATTAGGATGGGTAAAATAGTTTTAGGGATCCGATCCAGTAGAAAAATAGGAATTTCGTTGACGCTATTATCAATAATGAATCGCCGAGTTGAGCAAACGATCTGATCGTCGGCAGAATAAATTTAATTTTTTTAAAAAATTGAAATTTAAGACAAATTAAAGATTATTATTATTATAATAAAAATTTTATAATTTTTCAAAATTATGTTATTAATTTTTTTTAAAAGCATTTATTTTTGTCGTTTTTCTTTGTAAATTAAACGTGAAAACGCAAAAAATAAAAAATGACAAAAAATAGTTCAAAAGTTCAAATACGTCCTTAATTTAATTTTTGCGTTTCCTCTGGCTCATCTTTCTCCCTCTCCCCTCTTTTTTTATCATCCATTTTCTTATTAACATTTTTTCTTTTTTCTTTATCTTACTTTTTTTATAACGTATACATATTTTATATGTAAATTTATAAAATTAAAATTAATTATGCATTTATTAAATAATAATAAATAAATAATTAACCATAAAATATAATTAATAACTTTATGTTTATTTTTATTTACTTTTAAATTCATGATTTTGTGACAATATTTTCTTTTTTTTATAGTGGAGCATTATCAATTTTTTTATTATACGGTGACCTTTTTTTCTAAAAATAAAAGTCGGTTTTGCTATTTGGTAAAAAAATGAAAGAAAGATGGGGGATAAATAAACAATGTAATAGTCAGTCGGTAACAAAAAATATGGACATAAATATAATAAACGTCGTTATTTATATTAATAATAGTAAGTTAGTAGTTATATCATATTACATCTGTTAGAAATATGATTGGCTGTCTTTTTGAATAATTTTTACTGTAAACACGTGATCAGTATACTCATTATTGAATTATTTAAATTGTAAATAAACAATATTTAACCTAAACGCTAAAATTCGGAAGCCCAATTAATATCATAATATCAATAGTTTATTATTTTTATTGTCATATTTTAATTAGGCAGAACAAAAAAAATTGCCATTTCAAAAAAAATAAGTAGACGACATCTCTTTTATGTCTTTCATAGGTAGGGGAGTGGTTTCATAAATGAATGGTAAGGAGGAATGGCTTTCTATTTACATAAGATAACGTGCCAGGCAAATGGATATATATCAAATTTAAGTAAAAAAATATATTAATATGGCAAAGAAAAAATATCGGGTTAAAAAATTAAGTATTCAAAAAAAAGATTCCACAAGTATAATGTTATTACATTTATAAATGCTCATAACAATGGTAACTATATTTGGAAAGTTTTCAAGATAGAAATTATATAAAATATGCTATCCAGCATGTGAATACAAATTTTCATCTAATTATTTTAAAGCCTTGGTCATTGGCATAGTAAATGGAATATATGTTAATATGGAGATGCAAACCTGGGCCATTATGAGTTTTCACACTAATTGTGTGACCTGGCTTGTTAAAAATGTGTGAATCTTTAAGATTATAATCTTTTAAAATTAAAACACTTTAAATTTTAAACCAAAAATATTTATAGGAAATTTAGTTTTAATATATATATTATATAAAAATAATTAAATCCATTTACTTATGGGCTTGTCAAATATGGTCAATATAGCAAAAAAAAATTCTATTAAACAATTTTTATAATAATATAATGTATTATATTATAGTAAGCAAAAAAAATCAAAGACATAATTTTATTGTATGGTGTTTTAAAAAAATTATCATTCCTTAAATTTATGTAACGGTAAGAAACACTCAACAAAAATATGAATGAATAAAAATAGCTCTAATCAAATATTCCAAAAAGAACAAATAGAATTTAGGGATGTTTGTGATAATCAAAAATTAAATACTCTAAATAAACATTTAATTTAAACGTAGAATGTTTACACCTGATTTTTCTTTTAAAAAATCTATAAATATTGTAAATCAATAAAGATGGAAATGAGTTATAAATACATTATAAAAATAAATTAATCCGAGATGCATGATATCTAAAATTGGCAGTGGGCACTGAATGCATTAAAAGAAATAGGTATTAGTAGGACTTATGTAGAAATCAATGCTTATATCAAGATGGAAAGCATAAATTGGTAAAAATTAGCTGATCATGCTTATTTTTACTTATTATGACTAAATATCTATTACTTATCATATTTCTACAATTTTCCCCTATCACTATTTTATAACTTATTTTAACAATGATTAGTTGCTGAAACCACAAAATCATGCATTTCTGAAAGAGAAAATAGTTATACATATACAATTGTTAACATTTGTAAAAAACTTAATTACAAATAATATATCTTATATGTATTATATATGATTATTTTAAAATATCTTTACCTGTAATATTCATCTTTCATTTATTTATATATAATATATATTTTGTTAAAATAAAATGTCAATAGTTTGTAGATATTTGTAACATTCGAATAAGAATATAAAATAAATCAGATATTAATAATGCTGTTATATCAAATTAGGTTTAAATTTAATATTATAAACAATTGTATTTCTTATTTTAATTGCATAAACCAGACTAAATTATTAAATCATTACACATAGTGCAAATTAAGCACATTTTTAATTAATATAAATTTACTTACTCTAAATAAGAATAATATATAGTTAATTTTTGTAGTATAACATTCAAGGTTGTAAATAGGATAATATTTAGAATGCGAAATCCTATAATAATACTAGTTGATTTTTTGATAATGTATAACATCGGGCATGCAATAATATTTAATAGGTTCAATAATTCTTATAAAATTATATAAATTTCCATATTTTCAACTAAACAAAATCACAAATTGTCAGCTGTTAATTCAAATATTATTATCTCGGAAAATAAATTAAAAATAAAATATTAATTCTTATAATAAAAATTATAGTATCACTTATTATAAGCAGCTCAACAATTCACTATAATTATTTATATAGTTATAAAACTTCATTTAATGTTTGGATAATTTGTTGAAATTAATAAATGAATCTAAATTATTTTATATAAAATAGAAAGATATACCACACCTTACTAAAAGGTTTATAATAAATTTACATAAGCTTAATTAAAAAATATAATATATAAGTATTTAAAGGGCGAGCGGATATTAGTCAAAAATGTATTGCGATTAATCTATGGATGTTAAATCAGAACTGTAGTCGGGTGGGGGAGAATTTCTAGATGGGGATATCGTAATTAACTCTCAGTCCTATGGCATGAACAGTAACGTAGCTACGGGGGTAGTTTTTGGGTTTGGACCCCTCCCAGAGCAAAATTTTTTTTTAGGTTATACGTTCAAAAGACTTAAAAGTGATTTTATATCAAATAAATACCATTAATATTTATATTTTTCTGGTTTTGATGTTTGTTGAAGGATATTATATTACCATTAAAATTATTCTATATAGTATTATTATAAAGTCATTGAAAATAATCTACTAAATTATAATAACATATTATTGATGCATTTAAAAAATATATTTATTATAACCCCCCCCCCCCCCAGGCTTTTATATGTATGGACCCCCTCTTAGGAAAATTCCTAGCCACACCACTGCATGAAGTTCATTCTTTGTAAATAATAAAATATTATAAAGGGATGATTTCATAACCGTTTTAGAAGATGCTGAAAAGAAAAGGGAATGTTCTACAAGTTGGCGGAGTTTCCTAACAACAGTAAATCCCAGTTTCTATGCAATGAGGTTGATGGAGAATCAACTGGGGCAAGGATCCATAAGTCGATGACATGATGTAAAGGATCTGAATTATTGATAATTGCTGATAATTCTATTATATGATAAATGTGAAGATATGAAGACACTGATAGAGGAAAGGGAAAGTTAGCGTATACTCAAATCTTTTTTGGTGGGTAGGATACTCAGCAAAAATATTAACACAAACTTATTTTTTCTGTTAAGATTTTTACCTTAGGCTCATGAGTAACGTCTACATGAGCAGGGAGGGGGATGGTGGTAGGAACAGTTTGCATCATAACTTGAGGAAGATAGGGGGTAGGTGCCTTAAGGGATTAGGATATATTTATTGGGGAACGCTCTATTAAATTTTTAAATGAAATATGACAAAATATATAACTGTAAAAATTAATACCCTTATTAAGGATCTATTAGAATACAATAATAATGCTGATCATCGACCATATCTATATATTGCAAACATGATAGACATTATTTCTTAAATAAAACTTTCTGCTATCCTTTTAAATTACGGGTTAGACATTCTCAGCAAACTCATATTCATGCCAAACAATATGCTATATGCAATCATTGTAATTGAGGGGGTTTTTAATTTAATTCATGGTGCAAAAAATTATATTCACAATATATTGATAGTAGTTGGTAGCAGCGTCCAGCGTCTTCATGAGCGGGAGGGGTAGGAACAGTTCGCATCCTATTTTTTGAGGGGGGTATGGGGTAGGCTGCTTTAATGAGGGTAGTATAAATTTTTGGGGGTATCTATTAAATTTTGAGATGAAATAGGACAAAATTTATTGCTATAAAAATTAATACTTTTATTATAGAATTATTATAATACAATTCATCGACCAAATCTATATATTGCAAACAATCATACACATTGTTTTCCAAATAAAGCTTATTTAAAAGGTTTAGATATTTCAGCTATAATGCCATAATAATTAATTCCTTGTAAATAATGGAGGTTTTAATTGAATTTTTTATCTAAAAAATAAATTCTTTATATTCACAAAATATCGATAGTTAATAGTAGAGATAGATTAATTTAAGTTATCATATATAAATTCTCTGAAATAAATTAAAAAGGTGAAAATAATAATAGGGAGACACCGCCGCCGAAGGTGATGTAAATATTTTAGGGGGGTAGGCAAAGGTTTTTGAAGGGGGTTTGTACCCAGCGAAAATCCTGTCAAGCGTCTACATGAAGAACAGTTTACAAATATTTTGAGGGGGGTATATGGGGTAGGATTAAAGGGGGTATACCGGGTATAAATCTAATGGGAGGTTATCTATTAAATTTTTAGATGGAATAGTGCAAAATTTATTACTGTAAAAATTAATACTATTATTATAGACCTATTATAATACAACGATATTGCTAAACATCAACTAAATCTATATTTGGCCCACAATCATAGAAATTATTTTCCAAATAAAACTATTTCTGTATCATTTTTTGCTATATTTTTAAATGTAATTTAAAAGGTTTAAAAATTCTATCAGTAAAATAATATTCGTGCCAAACAATATACTACAGTGTTGATCAGATTTAATGGAAATCATTTCCATCTTTTTTGATTTATTTGAAAATAAAATTTCACTTGCAAAAAATTGTTAAATTCTGCCATCCCTAATTAGGAACACGTTATCTAAGACGTGTTGTTAAACGGCTCGTTTTGAGCCGATTTTCAATAACGGATAATTCAATATTTCATCCAGAAAAATATTATGCAAGCCTGAAGATTCTGCTTATAGAAGGCAAAGGTCTAGCTAAATATATATGATCGATTGAAATTTCGAGGCTCAGGCAATATTTTTCTGGCTAAAATATGGAGTTAGCTAAAAAAATAGGTTCAAAACGAACCGTTTAACAACCTTATCTTAAGACCATATCCTTGATTCTGTTATTATTTAGTATTGAACGTTACATTATAGTTAAAGCTTAACTGATTTATATTGTCAACAAATAAATTTGTGAGATTTGCATCCTTAATGTGCCTAGCTACTGGACTCTTCTAATCATTGCCGCATATCACTTGATTTAAAATAAGTTACCAGGAAATATCAGTTATAGCGCCCAAACTCATGGCAGTTACGTTCATTTTCATCATATGAATGATTTACCATATCGATTATTTCAGAAATACTCAAGTAAAATGTAAGGCAAAATATAATCCTTCATAAAAAATGGGCATGCCGAACAGTTTTGAAGATCCAATTCCTATAAGTGTGTCGATAAAAATTAGCTTAAACAATATTAAATAGGGGGAATTTGTTTTAATGTTTTTCTTTTTTACTTTAAATAATCGCTCTATCCGAATAGGAGCGCGCAAGAAGCATTGATAATTTAATAACTATAATTAATTTGTTTTATAATTCCATACTTTAATAATGTTCGGAAAGGTTTAAAAAATATGAAGAGTTTAAAAACAAATTATAATTATACATACGGAATATTTAATCTTTTTTTTTATATAGAGAATATTCAAGCTGAACAAAAATGTGATAAAACTAGCTTTCCCTATAAAAATGTATTTCAGAAAAAGAATTAAAAGACACAAGTCATGTGACGCTAATATTTTGGAGACTTAACGTTTATGCTAGTGTATCTGATGGTATTGACATTCTCTCTATAGCAGAGTCGTAAACTTAACCAATGAATCGTTTTTAAAACAGTGTAAAAGCCATGAGACAAATAGGGAAAAGAGCAATGATGATTTTAGATAATGCTGAGAAGAATATGATTGACAGGAAAAATTGTAGCCCCAATTATGACGTACTTAATAACTCAGAAGGAGCTAAACTATTACCCAAGCTTTTGTGGAGGATAATGGCCAAATCAGTATAAAGAAACTGGATAGATTGATTATTATGATTGGTAGATTATGTGGGCAAAAAAAATGTTTTTAACCACTCATCAAGTATGTATGATAGACCTGACTTATCTATGGCGGAAAAACATTGAAGACCTGAGTCCACTAGATTACATATAAATCCAGAGAAAAATTATACTTATAAAATTGCAAATTCGTATAGCCATTTTCAAATTTATATGCACTACCTCCATTAATCCCCATTCTGATGTATTCTAATTTTGATCCCGAATCAAATGCTGCATCCAAATTATATGAACCCAATAGTAAACTCTTCTTTCGCGTGATAGATTTGGTAAGTTATTGTATCTTAAAGCAGCTATTACTCCGTGGATTATGATATTGACATTACCAGAAACAAGGACTAGAATTAAAAGGATGTGTTTTAGTTATTAAAACTACAATGCTTTATTTATTTGACATAAATAGAGGGCTATTAAGTTATATTAACATTATACCATTCATGTTCTTTATAATGTTATAAAAATGGCTTATCTAATCAACTATGGGTAGTGTTTTTTTTAAAGATAACTTTGATAAACGACAAAATTTTAAATGCTTATTAAGCAATAATTACTTTTTTAAAATTTAGTGAGATAATTATTAGTGATAATTAAGAATCAAATACTTATATATGTCACAAAATTAGATTTAATGAAATACAGTGATTTGATTTGAAGGAAAGAGAGAAAGAGTAAGAAAGACCTAAATTAAGAATTTTATAAAGACACGTTTTTTATAATAATATAAAATATAACTCACCATAAAAAATCTATCCTTATCACATATGCTTCAAATTGTCATATTAGGATATAAAATCCACTGGAATTCGGAATCTCCCAATTTTAAATCATTTACTGAAGGAAAATTTTAAATTTTAAAAATTAGATTTAACCGAAAAGGTACTTAAGCATCTGTAGAGTTACCCACACTGTCTATTTCAAACAATTTTGCCGTGAACTTTAAAACTACCTTTAATTTATAATGATTTTTTTTATATAAATTAAGTAATTACATAATTTTTTAAGAGAAAATTGTTCGAGGAATATATTTCTAATTAAATCGGATTTAAAAAAAAGTTTATATATGATAATAATTATTCCTATCCTATCTCTCTTATTAAATATATATTTAAATTTATTTATCACATTCTTTTACTGATTAATTCTATCAAT